ATGGGGGGGGGGGGGGTGCTTTTCACTCACCTCATAGTTCTAGCTGACCTGTGATAATGAGACTGCCACAGGTTGGCTCAGTAGATCGGGAAGTGAGCGAACACATACGGGCGTTCGCTCACCTCTCGATCCTGTCACAGCTCTCTGCTGTGACGGGAGTGGCTGGATTCCCCTCTCCAATCCGCCAGCGCTGACTGGTGGGAGAGGGGGCGGGTACAGCTGGCTCTGCCTCTAGATAGGCAGAGCTAGCTGTCACTCACGCAGCTGGGCGGGTCCAGACATCGATGTCGGGATCCGCTCCGGCGTCTCAGTATACCGCGAGCTGTAGCTCCCTATATACTGAGCCTAGGGTGATGGGAGGACGCTAGTTTGTGTCCTCCCGTTACCCTAAGGAGAACTATGGGGAAAAGCCCTGACCCCATAGTTCTCCTTTAAATATAAAGTGGCCAGTGAGTGTACACTGTGTTTAGCTTGTGTGTTGCAATAGTTTTTGTGACTCTTCTGAACTACATACGTGTGTCAGTGTCACAAAATCTTGGAGCCTGAGCTGGCCAGGTACCTGCATTTGTAAGTTTTTTTTTTAATTTTCCCCTCAGTAAGGTTTTACTGTACAGACCTGATTCGTCCTATATCTATATCTGTTGGTATCTCTCTCCTGTTGGTAATGGTTTGTTTTCTGGTGATATGGCCACTAGCTGTGTGTCAATACCTGTGCTGCCCACTAGAGGCACTCTTACATTACGTATAGATCCAGCATGCTGTATTACTGAGTGTCAATACCTGTGCTGTCCACTAGAGGCACTCTTACATTACGTATAGATCCAGCATGCTGTATTATAATAAAATGATACAAAAAAGCCGTTTGGAGATGAAAGTGACATTAAACCCTCAGATGTTTTTAGATTGAACAATGCTGTAATGTGTCACTTACTATAATCTATTGTAGTTTCCCTTCTCTGCTGCTCTTTCTTTTTGAATCTTCACATGCTTGGGAGAACTTCCGTTTTGCAGCTGACTCCCCTCTTCTCTGGCTGTAACATGGAGTCTGTCGGCGCTCCAGAGCCAGGACCGCAGGATAACGTCCTCCCGGCATGTACATCCCCGCAGGGGCGTCCCGAGGCCGGGTGTCACCCGGAGCAAATGCAAAAAATAGGGCATGCCCTATTTTTTGCGTTTGCAGTTAAACGGAACGCTGGCAAAGTTTTGACACTGCCTCTAGATAGGCAGAGCCAGCTGTCACTCACGCAGCTGGCCGGATCCAGACATCGATGTCGGGATCCGCTCTGGCGTCTCAGTATATAGGGAGCTGTAGCTTGCGGTAAACTGAGCCTAGGTTGACGGGAGGACGCTAGTTTGTGTCCTCCCGTGCGGGTGGGGGGTGAAATCGGTGCCATTGAATACAATGCACCGCCACGCCCCCTCCTGCGCCAAAACGCAGGGAGAAGTTTAACAGCGATCGTGTTGCGTTCCAGCAGCTACCGCTCTGGAACGCACACGCTTTCGGTGTGAACAAGTCCTAAAAGGTGAGAAATATTTAAAAATATATATTTTTCGCTACAAGGTGGAGCCTTTGAACACTGAGCCTGGAAACAGACAGAGGTATTTATCAAAACTGAAGCAGCTGTGCGTGCCAACCAATCAGCTTCTCTCTTTCATTTACAAATCTTAACCAAACAACTGAAGAGAGAAGCTGATTGGTTGCCATAGGCAACTGCTCCAGTTTCTGTCTGCTCCCGTTTTGATGAATCCCCCCCAAAGTGTTGCACGAACACGCTTGCTTGTGCATACTCGGTGCTAATAACTAATGTCCAGATTGGAGGGAGGATCATTCTGGCCCTACACCAGAACAATTTTGTTTTCAGAAACATTTGTTGGACTTTCTAACAGCTGATGGGGGACAAATCAACGATCCATTCCGACCGCAGAGATGAAAAAAAGCTGAAAAATAGACATGTGCAGCCGCAAAAAATTAGTTTAGTTTTGTATTTTGTTTATTTCGTATTTCCGAAATATGGGTCCTGTATGTGTTTCGGATTCGATATTCGGACGGAGATCTTTTTCAAGCTCGAAAGGCAAAGCTGAGAAAGAAGATCTCCTCGAAACGCGTTGCTCCTTCACCACTGCTCCGTGCACGTCCTTCCCCAGCCTTCTGCCACTTTCACTCCACCACTTCCTAAAACACCGCGGCTAAGATCAGAGGCAACCGTCTCTACTAGCCCTCCGGCACACACAGCACTCAGTCTAAATCTGTTCTTCACTTTATTCTTTTACTCTCGGGTTCACCATCATACCTGATGACATCAATTCCAGCCGTCACGGCCAAACCCTAGGACCTGTTTTGCCTTGCCTCCAAGTCCTCATCTGGAGACCACCACATACCGAATACCACCACACAACACGTCTCGCATCGCCAGAACCTCATTGGGGCCCCCCTTGCCAGGATCCTTGGCACCCCAAGTAAGTCCCCATTTTTTGTTCATTTTTTTCCCACCTGTATCCCATAGACACTGGTTGTCCCTACACCACTCACACTCTTAGGATTTGGGCTCTTATTGCTTCACTTCCATGTTCACAGGTTTCTCCCCCTGTTCCTAGAGCAACAATCCTCATTGACCGCATCCACACATACCCCACACCCCTAAGAGAGCGCTGTGTCTTTTTTCTTCTTCTTGTGCTCTAGTCTTCACTATTAGGCCTCATTCACACCAAAACTGCATTGAAAATGCATGCGCTTTAGCCATTGCACTGCGATGCGTTTTGCCACGGTTTTGATGTTTTTTTTTTTTCTCTCAAAATGCAAATCAGACCATATGTCACCTCCTTCTTCCTGTCACAGCACTTTCCTCCTTCCTTTTCTAGCTCAGACATGCTTCCTTTGTTTGAAGGCATGGTGTTAGT